TCCCAGAATCCTCCGGTTTAGCATGTGGAAGCCTGTCAGATGCTCGTAAAGGAGCAGATGTGTAGTAGAGGTCTGCGCTGAGACAGGGGCTGTGCAAAGCTCTATAGAGACCATGCTGGGGTCAGGGGTTACCAAGGTGATACACTGTGATTTTTAGTGCACTGAGGTGTGTGGGTGACTCCGGAGAGGGACACCTGCATTCCCTATCACGTTTATTAGGTTGCAGTCTTTGCATCCTTGCTGCCCCCAGAGAAGCTAATGCCACATTCTTCATTGGCTCCTGTAGACAAGCATTACTGCGTTCTGCCTACACGCTGGGGGCTGGGAGGCACCAGGAAGGAGGTCACGGCATGAGGCGCCAGGCTGGGGGTGAACTCAGAGGAGAAGTGCTAACAGATTCGTCAGCTAATATGTTGGGGGCTGGGCGGGACAGAGAGGCTAACTCCGTGGAGGTTATCTAAGTGTCATGTGCATCTGCGCCATTCCCATCAAACATGCAGAAAGTAAGAGAGGGGCCCAAACGCCCAAGGAGTGCAGGAGAGGGACCCAAATGCCCAGGGTATGCAAGAGAGGGGCTCAAACATCCAAGGAGTGCAGGAGAGGGGCCCAAACGCCCAAGAGATGCAAGAGAGGGGCCCAAACACCCAGGGGGTGCAGGAGAGGGGCCCAAACGCCCAGGGGGTGCAGGAGAGGGGCCCAAACGCCCAAGAGATGCAAGAGAGGGGCCCAAACACCCAGGGGGTGCAGGAGAGGGGCCCAAACCCCCAGGGGGTGCAGGAGAGGGGCCCAAACGCCTAGGGGGTCCATAAGAGGGCCCATGTAAACCTAAAATGATAACCCAGTATGTATGGAATTTCTAATGCAGAATTTGTCATCTGTTCAGATCGCTTAACAGTAATATTTGGCTTTATTTGCATAATTGTATTACCTGAACGGGGAGAACATATGGATTTGGGACGGGTCCCACAGACACTTGATCCTGTTAGCACAATAACTCAAAAAGTATTTGATGCATTGTATAGGGAAGGGAAAAGTGATTAGTTATTCTTGACACATCATAGCACACAGTGCGCAACAATGAAATGTGTCCTCTGCATTTAACTCATATGTGACATCGTGACATAGCAGGGGGCAGCTAATTCAGCACCTGGGGAGCAGTGCTTGGGAGCGGTACCTTGCTCAGGGTACCTCAGTTTTACTTTGCTGGTCGGGGATTCGAACCAGCAATCTTTCCATTACAAGTATGTGTCCCTAACTATTAGGCCTCCACTGATCCCACTTGAATGGTAACTAAAAAAGTATCCGATGGACCTTTTTCAGACTTGACAGAGGCATTGCATTGTACAGCAGCCACAGCACTTTCATCATGGAGGAATTTATTTGTGTCACTTAGCTATAATTCTAGTCAGTGGATGGTAAATTCTTCAGCGTGTTGTTTGAAAATACATTTCTTTAATTACTGATTATGATTCATTGAGAAGAAGCAATGATTAATAATCAGTAGTAATATATTTAATGATTTATTTGTGTAATCACCATCTATGAATAAAACCTGATGTAGAATCCTTTGTAGGCTTTGTATGGCTCTTCAGCGCTCCCTTATTTTGAATAAATATGTCATTGTTTTGAAAAAGCTCTCATGACTTTCCCCGGAGAAGGGGATGCAGTGTGGGGGGGGGATCCGAGACGGGGGTGGTTTAAATTTTCACAGCCGCTTTCCGCTCTCCTTTTGTGTGTGTTTTGATGGGTGAGACCACCCCCCCCCCCCCCCCCCCTCCCCCCCCCCCCCCCCACCGTCACTGATAGCTGTTTGCTTTGTTCTTTGACGATTCTTTCGTGTTGTTCAGACTCAAACGATTGATTGGCCACTTAGGTTTTTCATGTGTCAGAAGAAGCAATCTAAACAGTAATTAAGCCTTGATGAGAAAATCTAAATTTAATATGGCATAAATCAAAAGCATACCTGTCCTTAGCAACTGCGAAGCTTCTCAGGGAGAATGCATCATCTGCTGCCATACCTTCCTCATTATAATCCTCCTGTCTGACCTGTCTGTGTTGTTAGCATCCTTAGAAAACCCCTTTTTTAATGAAACTGGTACCTAAGGGAGTGACTCCAGACATGTCTGTCGGACCCCGAAAAGTTTTCCTGTCCCAAAGTGGAACTCGGGGAGGAAAAATGGGCCGTTTGGAACACACCGTGTGGATTCTACTTCCTGGTGTCAGAGGTCACTTGCGACAGCACATTAGATGCGGCTGCTGGATCGATAAGAGACTCGTGCTGGTGCTTTGGGGTAAAGCACTATGGAGCTCCGGGGGGGGGGGGGCAGTGGCTGCATATTTGCCCATGAAGGGAGGTGGGCAGGGGAGCTTGCCGGGAGTCGGCGAGACGTCTCAGCCGCCGATCAGATCCCCAAGCATGCTGCCAAAGCTGCTGGCCTCCTTTCCTGTGACCCGGGGTGGGGGGAATCCAGCACAATCAATCCCCCCCTGCACAATCAATCATTTGCCATTTGCTCCATGCCAGCAGCTCCCTGTCCCTGGTGAGCAGAGGTGGAGCAGGGATCAGGCTTCCTCCCCATTCCTCCTGTCCACGTCGCGGTCGATTAGGAAATGGCCAGCTAACAAGCTAACTAGCTAAGAGAGTGACTGCGAGCTCCCCGCCGGGGAGGGCCTGGCTGCTGGGATCCGCTCCAGCTCCCCCGCCTCCGGCTGACCTCCACGCTCACGCTGTTTGTCTTGCTTCAATGCGATGAACGCTACAATGCAGGCTTTGTCTGAACCTCTAATGACGGTAAAGATATGCTGCCTCTTGGTGATCGGCCCCATAATTACCAGAGCGCCACTGGTCAGAAGGCGGGAATTCTGGGAAACTGGAAACTTCCAGGTTACACCAATAGTTTTTACAGAGAGATTAATTCTATGAGGGGCATTTAGCAATCACTGCTAGATACATGGTCTAAAACGTGAGCAAGAAAGGTGATGTGAGGTGAGAGCAGTAGGTGATCACTAACCAGCAGTAGTCTTGTGTTACTTTAAAATGTCAAACTAACATTAAAAGTCTCTTTCTTGACTATTTATGTGCTGTATGATTGCTTCTTGAAGTAAATTTCACAGAAATAAGTCCTGTATAGGCTGAGCAAATGTAGAAGGTGGATGGATGGATGGATGAAGGGTTTGCAGTCACTGTTATTTTTGTAAGCTCTTTGTGCTTTTAAAGTCCTAAATGTTTGGGAACTTTCCAGATGCACAGGCCAATAATGTCTGGCTGTATAATTTAAAGGGCAGTTTTTGCCTCATCGATTTTCTTATGATGTCTGCTGTGTCTCACCTGCTCGCTTGACCCACTATCTCTGCCTTTTTCCTGACTGAGGAGTGAATTGAGAAGCTATTAATGGAGGGGGGGGGTGCTTTATTTCCATTCAATGACTTCAGTTATATTGTTTGTATATAAATTTGATGGTTCACAGTGCTGAACTTTTAAACGAGTCAAGTTCCTCTTTTCGGAAAATCGTGAGGTGAATCTTGTGCAGTGAAATCAATTAAAAGCTAAGTAACTAAGAAATTACAAGGTAACTAAGTAATGGGAGGGACTGGATCTGTTGCAAGTTTTACTTAAATTACAGCTTAATACAGGCTTAATACGGTTTTTCACTGATGGATGTTTTGAGATAAAATCAGTCTCGTAAAAAACGTTTTTTTTTTCCCCCTCTTTTTAGGCTGTCAGCTCTATTGATCAGTTATCTTAAAACAAGGCCGTGCCCCGAGCTCTGTACCGTGTGCGGCGTCGCCACGTGGCGCGTGACCGTGGTGCTGCCCGCCTGCCCGGGAAATGCCAGGATTTCTTAAGAACTTGTAGGGCAGCATTGACCGGACACAGAGGGAAGATCAGCAGAATCCCAGAAAGTTAGAAGTCAGATCCACCCCTCCACCCCCTCACCGTTCATAGACGCTGCCTTTCTCTTACCCCCACATCAGTCTGCCAAGCACCTTCATCACCCAAGTAGGTGCAGGTGAGGATCAGGTCTGTCCTCCCTCTGCCCTGTGAGCAGGTCACCAGGGCCCGGCCTTCTCCTGCCTGAAAATGGATGCTCTGACAGCATGGCTGTATACATTCTGCCGGTGGAGGGAGAGCTGGTCCTGCCACAGGAATTTCCCATTCCCCCTGTGTCTTGCGTCAGTGGGGTCGGGGGTGGTATTTTTAGTCGACACGTGAAATATGAGTCCTTAGGGTAACCGGGGCTGCTCATAAGGGGAGTCTTTGTGATGCCGGGGTGGGGCCGCCCTGACGGGTAGCTGCCAGCCTCTCCCTCATGTCATCTGTGTGGGAGTGCGAACCACACCCCCCCCCCCCCCATTCCAGACCATGATCGGGGGCGTGTCTCCTGCGTGTGATGCCGCTGCAGTCGGCTGGCCGCTTTCCTTTTACTCAGCTCCCCGTGACGCAGCAGCGATTTTACAGCCCTTGTGAAGCCCGACCTAATTCCCCCGTTTCCTGGCTACCCGCCAGGCCGTAGTACTGACCGCAGCGGGTCAGAGCGCCGCCGTGCTAAAGCCGCGAGCAGCCGGGGGGGTGTGGCCCCGCCCGGAGAAAAGCGCCGTACAACAGCCGCACGATTAATAAACGGGACAAACGAAGAATGCATCAAAGCCAGCCAGGATTTAAAAGCCAAATGAGCCAAATGTGGCTCTGTGATCTATGGGCTTTATGTTTTTCTTTTCTCTTTTTTTGAGATCCTTGCTGAAGGCAATTAAGAATAGGTCAGTTTTTGTAACTGATATTTAAACGTTCATTGTTAGCAGTTAAGTACCAACATGAATACCTCAGGGGTGCTTCTCAGTAATGTACCAAAATAAGAACAATTTAGACTTTAAAACACTCCCTCCCCCCTTATAACTCTGGAAGACTGTGAAATCCTTCACAGACTGCAGGTGCGGGGAGCAGGCCTGGCACCTTGCTGCCCTCTTTCTATGTCTCTCTAAGCCCTCCCCCCTCCTCGCAGGAGCAGAGTCCCAGTAACCAGACATCCCTGGCAATGATGCAGGAGCCTCAGGAGATTGTGGAGGAGACCGTGACCATTGAGGAGGACCCCGGCACGCCCACGTCCCACGTGTCCGTGGTCACCTCCGATGACGGGACCACACGCCGCACAGAGACCAAGGTGACAGCTTTCTGCTTAACAGAGTCCTCTGAAGATCTCAGTGGGGCAGCCTGGTATATTCGCATTGTCCATCGGGAGAGCTGTTACCCCCTCTTCCATGCAAGACAGTCGGGGGAAGCTGTTGTGTGTTTGTAGGGTGCCGGTGAGCTATTCCACACCCAAGGGCGTAAGGGACCCCATGAAGAACTTCGTGTGGCCATTTTCTTTGCTGTGTCAGTGGCCTCACCAGTTAAGATTTTAACTGGCACCTGTGGGATTCAATAGAATTATAAAGAACATACAATGAATAGAGGAAAAGGAGAATATAGCTTAAAGCAGGGCATGATGAAAAGGGGGGGGGGGTTCATTCTAAAAAATGCAGTTAACTGAAACGAGAACTGACTGGTGCCGGCAAGGCAAGGTTACCTAATCGGGTCCGAA